AAGGTGTATATAAAGCAACTAGTACAGTACACTTCATTTATATGATTTTTTTTTTTTTGAGGGGGGTGGAGATGGAGTCTCACTCTGTGGCCTAGGCTGGAGTGTAGTGGTGTGATTTCAGCTCACTGCAACCTCCGCCTACTGGGTTCAAGCAATTCTCCTGCCTCAGCCTCCTGAGTAGCTGGGACTACAGGCATGTGCCACCATGCCTGGCTAACTTTTTTTGTATTTTTAGTAAAGACAGGGTTTCACCACATTAGTCAGGCTGGTCTCGAACTCCTGACCTTGTGATCTGCCTGCCTCAGCCTCCCAAAGTGCTGGGATTATAGGTGTGAGCCACTGTACCTGGCCTCATTTATATGATTATTATAGAGTGAAATTTCACTAGACACCTCTCCTTCCTATGCTCTCCTCTGTCTCCCCTGGGGGCCGCTGCTGAATACGTAGCAGGGAGGACCTGCAGCCAGGGCTCCAGGCACCTCCCCTCTTGCCCTCTTATTCAAACCTATTGCTTTCTGAAGATCAAGAAAACCAACCAACTAGAGAAAGCTTTGCTAGATTTTTATCATTACTAGTTTATGAAAGGATTTCTCGGTTTCTTGGCCAGGGTTTCAGTCTAGACTTCAATTCCTAGGTTCCATCAGTTTTCTTCACAATATTAAATTAAAAACTGACATTTTAACATGGGAAACTTTCACACCATGAATTTAAATAATACTATCAGGTTAACCTAAAGGCCCTTTTCAAATAAGACAAGATGGTAAGGAAACCAGCCACAGCCTCTACACTACCCTCTCCTCCTGGAGCAATTCCGTAACACTAATGCCACTTTATTCTGGGAAATACAGAAACTGTGGATGACCTAGAAAACTGGATGACTTCAGGAGCAGCTCAGTGAGAGGTGGCCTAATGCCCAAAGCAAAGTTAAGTTATCACATCACATCATGCTGGAACACGCTCAGATAAGCTGCAAGAGCCAATTATATCACAAAAGTAATGGATAAAACTCACTTCTACAGCATGATTATAGAGAAAGACAAAAAATTAAATTTGATGTGGGAATTATACCAAAAAAGAATATCGAATTGGTATATGGAGTTGAGGAAACTGGTAAGTACTTAAGCAGGTAAAGAGTAAGCGGTTGAGAGAGAGAGGAGGAGGAACCTAAGTAGATGGAGTATTATCTCCAAATAGGGCAGGAAAAGGTAAAAAGCATAAAATCAAAATGTTAATGGCTGCATCAATGGGCCCCAAATTGGTTTCCTTTTTTCTTTTTTTGGCTGCTCCTTGTGGAGCAGGGCTAACCCACAGGCAGTGTGCCGGGAGCAGCCATGCCAATTTTCAAATCCCCTCTCCCCCATTTCACTTGCCTTTTCCCAATGCCACCAGCCTGATTCTGTTGTCTTTAGCAACAAGAGCCCGTCTATCTGACACTCAGAGGGGAACAATTTTCCTCAGCACAGTAGTTAGGTGACCACTTACCTTTGGCTTCACGTCTTTTGAAGATAAGATGGAAGGCCTGGCAGAGGCGACAGCAGGGCGTTTGGGTGGGGCAGCTGGTACTAAGCCTGAAGCAAGGCTCATGGGTTTTTTATTCAACCCACCAGTGGTGGTGGGAGCTGGCTGCTTAGGGAGAAAAGTGGGCTGTGTTTTGGCTTTCGATGTTGAAGTCTTTGCAGGCTGAGTGGACGCCAAAGGCTTTAGGTTGATTGTTGTTTTTTTTATTTTTTATTTTTATTTTTTAAAGGCCAACATCAAACACACAGACAAGAATAAAAACAAATAAAAAAAAGTATAAATTGCACAATTCAAAGTAAAATTATAAGCAATGAGGATAGATACAACTTAAAATTGGCATTTCATTCTTCTGAGTTCTATAAACAATGGAATGAGACCAGGATAGAGAAAGAAAATGGGGATTAGTTTCTTAATGACAGTGCCGCAAATTCCGGCAGTTTGGCACCTGAAGATTTAATTCAGTAAAACAATTAACTAACTCTTAAAACTAACTTCTGGTGGCTAAAATAATTCTACAAGAAAATCATCAGGAGGTGATGAAGCCATTATGACCTGTGTTTTTTTTCAGAACTTTTTAATTTAAATTTTTGAAGCCCCTGGACATGCTGAAACTATCTGTATCTTATGGGACAACAACAGCCACAGCCTACAGTGTGGCTTTTGAACTTTGCAGTAAGTACGAGGGTTATGTGTCTGAAGCTATATGATCCATCTTCAAAATCTGCATTCTCTTTTCATGAATGGAGATTTCAGAATCTTTTTTTCTTTAACACTGAGTTAATAGCAAACAATTCGGAATTTATTTCAGAATATTTTTGTAATTGTCCTTTTTGTTGTTGTTAAGGGAAGCAGAAACAATCTCTATAGAACATTTTTTACAGATATGTAAGATAACAGGGTCAAAGGCTGAGATTTTAATGTTGGTTTAGGACACTATGGTAAATGAGAATACAAGATATTTTCTAAGCATGTCCAAACATGAGGAAGGACCACAATAGCTCAGAAAAAAGAAATGCCATTCATGATTCAAGCAATAACAGCAGAAGATACTGTGTTTAAAAATTCTGGCAGTACAAGATAACCACCACTCTGGCACCTACCTTTGTTTTCTTCTCTGGGCTTGGTGGGAGCTCCTTGTTTGGTGGGGTGGTGATGTCATTTCCAGCCCCACTCACAGCAGGCCTTCCTTCTTCTGGCCTGGCTACTCCTAAGGGGAGAGGGTGGGTGGGAATTCTGCTAAGCAAACGTTTTTCACACCCATTTTGAAAATACAAGGTTTAGCAAAGACAGACCACTAACTAGCACTTCATTCTGAAAAAAGTCCACAGGGTTGTGCTGCTGAAATGTGGACAAGACTCCCAAGTTCTCATTGTGATGGAGAACAGTTTTAGATTCCTCAGATTCAGGAGCCTGACCCTGTGGAGAAGCAGTCTAAGTGGCACATGCACGAATGATTGGTGGAAAGAAATGGTCCTTTAAGTTTGGTTTCCCTTCCCTGGAGACCAAAGGGACTCCGTCTGCCAACCACTAGCTCTCCAAGCAATAGGACAAAAACCTCTTCTACCAGAATCTATCTTTGAAATAAATGTTGCTGTGAGATGGGGTAAGAGCCAGAAGATCATTCAATGACTCCCTTTCCTTCCTTTCCCTATAAAGAACCACTTTATAGAGGATGCGAGATTAACCTGATCTAGTTCTAACAGTGACCCAGATTTCCAACAAGGCTGAGGAGACCCATGGAACAAGACCCAGGGCCAGAAATAAAGTCTCCTGACTAAGGCAATATAGCCTCCTCTCTGTGGAGAGGTTACTCCAGATTTCAATAGGACTACACCTGAAAGCATTAAAATACTGCTAAATTTATAATCTTGCTGTGAGGGGAAGGACTTTCTAACTGGCACAAAGTCCACAGGCCACAAAAGTTTGACTAAAGAAAAATAAAAAACTTCTATGTGGCAAAAAAACAAAAAAAGACAAAACTTTTATTATAATAAAAGTCAAGCCGGGCGCGGTGGCTCAAGCCTGTAATCCCAGCACTGTGGGAGGCCGAGGCGGGTGGATCATGAGGTCAACAGATCGAGACTATCCTGGTCAATATGGTGAAACCCCGTCTCTACTAAAAATACAAAACATTAGCTGGGCATGGTGGCGTGTGCCTGTAATCCCAGCTACTCAGGAGGTTGAGGCAGGAGAATTGCCTGAACCCAGTAGGCGGAGGTTGCGGTGAGCCGAGATCGTGCCATTGCATTCCAGCCTGGGTAACAAGAGTGAAACTCCGTCTCAAAAAAAAAAAAAAAAAAAGTCAAAAGGCAAATGAGAAACAGAAAAAATACTTGACCCTCATGCCAAAGACAAAGAGCTTATTCTACAAATTACTCCCACAAATCAGTAACTGCTACAAAGGCCAATAAACCACTGGAAAAATGACCAAAACAATATGAATACATTATATAGAAAAGAGATACAAATGTCTTTTGAATCTATGAAAAGATGTCCAATGTTAAGTATGATAAGAAAAATAAAAATTAAAACCCCACTGAAATATCTTTATTTTATTTTATTTTTTGAGATGGAGTCTCACTCTGCCACCCAGGCTGGAATACAATGGCGTGATCTCGGCTCACTGCAACCTCTGTCTTCCCCATTCAAACAATTTTCCTGCCTTAGGCTCCCAAGTAGTTAGGATTACAGGAACGCACCACCTCACCCAGCTAATTTCTGTATTTTTAGTAGAGACGGGGTTTCACCATGTTGGCCAGGCTGGTCTCAAACTCCTGACCTCAGGTGATCCACGCACCTTGGCCTCCCAAAGTGCTGGGATTATAGGCGTGAACCACCATGCTTGGCCTGAAATGCCATTTTAACACTAACATATTGTCAAAAGTCCCAAAATTTTAAAATAACTATTGAGAATAATATGAAGAAATATACTTGGTAGGTATGTGAACTGCTATGACTCATAGGCAGGGCTGCCTGACAGTGTCATTTTCTAAAAATTACAAGTACACACAAATTCTAATCCAGAAAACCAATTTCTAGTAACTTATCTTAGAGGGGTATTTATACACCAGCAAAATAATAAATGTGCAAGGTTTCCACCAGGTCATTGTTTCTAAAAGCAAAAGAACAACCCAGTAGTCTGTTAATAGGAAACTGGTTATTATGGTAGAAATATCAATGTAATCTCTGAATGAGAAAAAATAAAGCATGGAGAAATTATTTTATAATTACTATGCAATGGTCTCTACTAAGTGAAAAAAAAAAACCCAGCAACGCATAAGTATAATGTGAAACCATCTGTCTTGAAAAGGGATGGATCAGGTAGTACTGCAAATACACTTGTATATGCATTTAAAAAGAATCTTTGAAAGGGTTCCAATTAAACAGAACAACGTTTGTGGGGGAAAGGATGAGACACAAAAATGGGGAGGGTAGGAGGCTTAAAACGTTTTGAGAAAATATTAGATTCACAGGAAATTGCAAAGAATTACATAAGGAAGGTCCCTGTGTACCCTTTTACCCAGTCTTCCCCAGTGTTGACATCCTTCGTAAATACGGTATACTACCAAAACCAGGAAACGGAGACAACCCACAGAGCCTACTCAGATTTTTCGCTTTAGATGCACTTATTTGTGTGTGTGTGTGTGTGTGTGTGTGTGTGTGTGTGTGTGTGTGTGTGTAGTGCTATACAACTTTATCAAGTGTAGCTTTGTGTAACCACTACCTCAGCCTCCCAAAGTGCGGGAATTATAGATTACCAGGCCTAGAGTGGCTGCTTACAATCAACAGGGTTTCTTCATATTACCCCTCTATAGCCATATCTACCCCATCTCCTCTTTCCAATCCCTAAATATATGGCAACTACTATGCTCTCCATCTCTATAATAACTTCCAGTATACTATGTTAAAAAAGAGTGGTGCAAGTAGACATCCTTGCCTCATTCCCAATCTTAGATGGAAAGAATTCATTATTCAACATTAAATATGATGTTAGTTGTAGGCTTTCTATAGACGCTGTTTGTCAAGTTAACTAGTTTGCTGAGAGTTTTAACATGGATGGCTATTGAATTGTGTTAAACAATTATCCTGTGTTTACATTTTTTTCTTTAGACTATGAGATGACAAATTACTTTTTTTTTTTTTTTTTTTTTTGAGACGGAGTTTCGCTCTTGTTACCCAGGCTGGAGTGCAATGGTGCGATCTCGGCTCACCGCAACCTCCGCCTCCCGGGTTCAGGCAATTCTCCTGCCCCAGCCTCCTGAGTCGCTGGGATTACAGGCACGCGCCACCATGCCCAGCTAATTTTTTGTATTTTTAGTAGAGACGGGGTTTCACCATGTTGACCAGGATGGTCTCGATCTCTTGACCTCGTGATCCACCCGCCTCGGCCTCCCACAGTGCTGGGATTACAGGCTTGAGCCACCGCGCCCGGCCGACAAATTACTTTTATTTGATTATTGTACTAGCCTGGTATACCTGGAATAATTCCAATTTCAATTTTTTTTTTTTTAAAGAGATGGGGTCTGTTGCCTAGGTTGCAGTGCAGTTGCATAATCACAGTTCACTGCCACCTCAAACTCCTGGGCTCAAGAGACCCTAATGCCTCAGTCTTCCAAGTAGCTGGGACATCTGGCATGTGCCACCATACCTGAATAATTTACAAAAAAAAATTTTTGAAGAGATGAAGGTCCTGCCATGTGGCTCAAACTGACTGGTCTCAAGCAGTCCCCCCCACCTCAGCTTCCCAAAGTGCTGGGATTACAGGCACAAACCTCCATGCTCCATCATAATTTTAATCTTTTAAATTTATTGAAGTTGGTTTTATGACCCAAGATCCATCTTGGCAAATGTCTAATGGGAATGTATATTCTGTCACTGAGTGGAATTTCTATCAATGTCTGTGAGATTTTGTTGTCTGATGGCATTGTTACAGCTTTACTAACATTCTGGTTAGTAGTTCTATCAATTGTGATCCACCTGCCTCAGCCTCCCAAAGTGCTGGGATTACAGGCGTGAGCCACTGTGCCTGGTCTCCCATCTTTTAACTTTTAACCTACCTATGTCCTTATGTTTGTTATGAATTTATTATAGATAGCATATACTTGGGCCATTATTTTTTCTTTTCAAGACAGGTGTGATCATGGCTAATTGTATTCACTGTAGACTCTACCTCCTGGGCTCAAGCAATCCTCCCACCTTGGCCCTCTGAATAGCTAAGACCACAGGTGTGTGTCTGTGCCATGCCCAGCTAATTTTAAAATTATTTATAGAGATGGGTTCTCCCTGTGATACTCAGGCTGGTCTCGAACTGCTAGGTTCAAGTGATCCTTCTGTCTCAGCCTCCCAAAGGGATTACATGCAGGAGCCACTGAACCTGGCCTCCTTAAGTTATTTACTTAAAAAAAAATCTACTCTCTAATCTTTGTCTTTTAATTGTAGTACTTAGACCATTTACATCTACAATAATTACTGATGGCCAGGTGCTCACTTGCAAGCTCCATCTCCCGGGTTCAAGTGATTCTCCTGCCTCAGCCTCCTCAGTAGCTGGGATTACAGGCATGCACAACCACACCCAGCTAATTTTGTAAAGATGGGGTTTTATTGTGTTGATCAGGATGGTCTTTAACTCCCAACCTCAGGTGATATGCCTGCCTCAGCCTCCCAAAGTGCTGGGATTACAGGCATGAGACACCATGCCCGGCCCATTTGTTCTTTTTCTCATTTCTCTGTTTTACTTTCTTGCCTTCCTGTTGGTTACTTGAACTTTTAAAAAAATCTTTAATTTCCTTTTTTCATTTTTTCAAATTACATCTCACCCAAGGTTACCTGAACATTTTTTAGAATTCTATTTTTATTTAAAAAATGTTTTTGAGAATAGTACTTTGTATAGTTTTCTTAGTGGTTGCTCTAGGTATGACAATATTCATACAATCAACTGGTATCCATGTTCTACTACTGTTTTTTTCTCTAGAGATGGGGTCTCACTCTGTTGCTCAGGCTGGTCTCAAACTCCAGGCTCAAGTGATCCTCCCATCTCAGCCTCCTGCATATCTGGGACTACAGGTGCACACCACCACAGCCAGCTACATTTTACTACTTTGAGTAACCTACTGGAACAATGTTTTGCTGCTGAGCCCATTTAAGTTTTTAATTTTAATTATATTTTTCATATTGACAATTAACATTTGGTTTTTATATAACTTATAGTTATTTGCTGAGGTTTTTAGTTTTTATTTATTTCAAGGGAATTCATACTTGCTTGTTAAAGCACTTTTATGATGGCTGCTTTAAAATTCTAATTTTGTATTTTAGCATGCAATCACCCTGTTTATATTTAGTACACAGGTTATGTCTGGTGAAAATTTGGTTTCTAGAGCCCTTGCAATGCCCCGTTGTGTTCTGGTTCTGCTAAGGTTCTAATTTAATCCCTTTTGGTACTGCCTGAAAAGGCTATAGGGACTTCCCTGGGCCAGCCAGTGTTAGCACATAGGGGCTGAGTGATGCTGGAACCACAGAATAGAGAGACCTTCCCCTGGCCTGTTCTCTGGCTGCCTGAGACAGGCAGACCTCCTGTTTGATCTCTGCTGGGGTTGCTGGGAGCAGGAAACATCTACCTTGGGGGCTTTCTTCTGCAAAGGGGAAGAAAGCAGAGGTTTCAAAACCTACAGAAGTCTCCTGCCACTGGGTAAAGGATTACAAGACACTGGGCCTATAGAAGCCATTGGTGCTGTTCCCTGGTAGGGGACTAAGTCTGCAGGCAGACTGAGCCCACTGCTGGGTATTGGTAACGAAATAGGGCTCACCACTAGGTCTTTGGTGGGATGTTTCTTTCTTGGTTTTTTGGCAATAGAGAACAGATTTTCTCTATTTTTTTTTTTTTTTTTTTGGCGGGGGTCAGAGGGGTGTCCTATGCTTATTGGTAATTCCAGGTTACAGGCCTCTCCAGTGCCCAGCCAGGGATAAATAGGAGAGAAAGACCCTGTCTCTACCATCATTCAATCACTTCATCAATCCCAGGGAGTTCGCTGCACTATTGTTCCTCAAGTCCTGAGATCCCCACAAGATTTGCCTTCTTTCTACCTCATATTCCTTTATGTAATTCTGTTCAATTATTTCCAGATTATTTAGTTGTATTTACAGGGGAGGAGCAGAAAACAATGAGTTGATGCCATCTTGTCTTGATAAGAGGTTTTTTTTTTTTTTGCACTTTGTACTTTTTGATGTTTGAACCATATGCACTTTTAGTCAAAAACTGAGTATTTTTCTAGTTTTAAAACGTGATGGGGAAAAACCACAGCCAGTAACTGTGCAAGTTTGTTAATGCCTTTGTTCTACAAGATCTTACTTGTGTGACCAGCTGCCACTGGCCCTAGACCACCCACTATAAATATATATATATATATATATATATATACACATATATATATATATATATTTTTTTTTTTTTGAGACGGAGTTTCACTCGTTACCTAGGCTGGAGTGCAATAGGCTGGAGTGCAATGGCGCGATCTCGGCTCACCGCAACCTCCGCCTCCTGGGTTCAGGCAATTCTCCTGCTTCAACCTCCTGAGTAGCTGGGATTACAGGCACATGCCACCATGCCCAGCTAATGTTTTGTATTTTTAGCAGAGACAGGGTTTCACCATGTTGACCAGGATGGTCTCGATCTCTTGACCTCGGGATCCACCCGCCTCGGCCTCCCAAAGTGCTGGGATTACAGGCTTGAGCCACCGCGCCCGACTATAAATATTTTTCAATAAGCTCAGCATTTTTCAGTAAACAACATGAATATTTTATAAAGTCACATTGTTTATGATTCAGGCATACAGTAACTCAACCTGTACAAGTAAATGTAACTGTGCATAAGCAGAAACTGCTGTCTCTCTGTTCAGGCAACTTCTTTTTTGTTGTTTGAGACTTGATTTTGGTCTACCCCCCAGGCTGAAGTACAGTGGCACAATCCTGGCTCACTGTAGTCTCATCCTCTTGGGCTCAAGTGATCCTCCCACCTCAGCCTCCCAAGTAGTTGGGACTATAGGCATGTGCCACTACCCTCAACTTTTTTGTATTTTGCCAAGTTGCCCAGGCTGGTTGGTCTCAAACTCCTGGCCTCAAGTAATCTGCCTGCCAAGGCCTCCCAAAGTTTTGAGATTATAGGCATGAGCCACCAAGCCTGGCTATCAGGCAATTCTAGAGACTACCACTCACATATCCCCAGAGTTTCACAAAAGAATATCTGAAGTGGAACTCATTAATTCCTTCACTGAATTGTACTCTTTTGTTGGGTCGTTCTATTATCTATACTACCACTGGCTAGGAAAACCAGACTCACATCACAGCATGACCTTCAATTCCTCTTTCTCACACACCTTCCACATTCCAGTTTCACTTTCAGTTATCTTCACCTGTTACATTTCCCCTCTCATGTCCTCAGTGTTTCATCTGCCATTACCTGAATCAAATTTTCCTAACAGGATTGTCTGCCTTCAATTCTTTGTCTTCCAGTTCATCATACTTACTGTGAACAAGTAAGTCTTCTAAAGCTGACCTGGAGCTACTTTATCTGCTGTCATAGACATCACCATAGTTTTCACAACATGGTAGTAAGGTTTAAACTTTTCAGTGGGGCATTTGAAGCTTGGCAAGATTGGATTCCAAACAACTTTCTAGAATTTTCTCCCATCATTTCTTGCCACATATGTAAAGGTGGCTTTGGACTATTCCTTAACCCACACTCTCTCCTCTAGAGAAACCTCAAGGTGAATGAAGTGGGTGGGTCTAAATGGCTCAAATTGGTTAAGAAGGCTATGGGACCCAGTATACAGCTGACTGAACCAAGCTGAGCCAGTAAGAGATAATTACTCGCTCACTGTCAGTATAGACAAAGACATGGAAATGTCAGTCACATGACATTGGAACCCTGACATATATGGTGGTAACAAAGCTGGCCACAGAGTTCAAATCATGGTAACTCAATGTCATTCTGTCCTGAGCAGAAAGAGTCACAAGGGAAGCAAAAAGAGATGACAGAGGAAATACAGATTACCGAAGGGAAGAAAATAGAGCACATGTGCAGGGAAAAGCAGAGGTCCCAAGAGAGATATACACAATGGTGGCAGCCTGGCACCATTTCCTGTGGCTGGATGCCCTGCAAATCCTCCATTGTTCTCTTAACTAACATAAGCTGCCTAGGCTTCATACCTTTGCTTATGAGTTCCTTTGTCTAGAAGGCTTTCCCTCGGCATTGTTTGGCATCCTAGGGTTCCAAAGCCCACTTCAAATGTTTCCATGATTCACAGCCCTCTCACTGCCCCCCAGCCCTCCAACTGGATCGTAAATTGCTTGAGGATAAGGAAAATTCCCAGTGTCTAGACAGTGAATGCAAATAGTAGGCATGTTAAATGAAACAATCTTCATATAAAAGTTTTATCTACATAGTGGTTAGCAGAATCAGCATTTAAACATTTATCAGGTGAATGCATCAGTGGATGTCAGTCATCTGAAATTTTTTTCTATTGGCACAAACTTCTGTTAGTGTGAATTAGAAAGAACTTGTTCTGAAAGAAAGTCTTCACTCATGATCACCTAGAAGGTATGTGGTACTGCACAAAGCACCTGGGAATCAAGAAAAAGATGACAGAGTCCTGTCCAGGAGGAGCTTACAATTCTGCCACAGCTAGAAGGAAGCAACAGCACAGGACACCTGAATGCTTGCGATCCTGGTGTCATAAGAAATCAAAGAGGAACTGTGAAGCTTCTCTGCCCATCTCCATAAAAAAAACAAAACCCGAAAACACCTGTATGTCTTCTACTTACCACTCCCCTAGAAAATATCATTTCTTTACTCTGCCCTTGTATGGAAAGAAAATTTCAAAAAGTAGGCCGGGTACGGTGGCTCAAGCCTGTAATCCCAGCACTTTGGGAGGCCGAGGCGGGATCACGAGGTCAAGAGATCGAGACCATCCTGGTCAACATGGTGAAACCCCGTCTCTACTAAAAATACAAAAAATTAGCTGGGCATGGTGGCACGTGCCTGTAATCCCAGCTACTCAGGAGGCTAAGGCAGGAGAACTGCCTGAACCCAGGAGACGGAGGTTGCGGTGAGCCGAGATCGCGCCATTGCACTCCAGCCTGGGTAACAAGAGCGAAACTCCGTCTCAAAAAAAAAAAAAAA